TACATACATAATAGATGTATGTATATTTTATTAATTATTTTAGCATCTATTACATACATATTTAAATATGTATGTAATATATGCATGGATGCAATATAGGTATTTGCAGTTATTGTGGTTAAAAAGTCAATGGAGAGATAAACAAATAAAAAACAAAATAAATTTCTACATTATAAAATAAATAGTTTAAACACTCCTAGTCATAACTAAAGAATATATATATATATATATATATATATATATATATATATATATACATATATATATATATATATATATATATATATATATATATATATATATATATATATATATATATATATATATATATACTACATATATATATATATATATATATATATATATATATATATATATATATATATATATATATATATATATATATATGTATATATATATATATATATATATATATATATCTACATATACATATATATATATATATATATATATATATATATATATATATAATATATATATATATATATATGTATACATATATATCTATAAATTTCAATACGTATGTATGTTAGACCCATGGAAGTCGGCCTAACATACAATTTTTAATATATTTACTTTTTGTTTTTGTTAAAATCATTTCATATTTTAATACATTCGAATTTTAAAAGTTTTTTCCATTTCTAACTATTTATTGCTAAAATAATTAATAAAATACCTTATAATATTTTTTTAGTATTTTAGTATTTGGTCATAACTTTTAGGCACAATAATACAAATAAATTAATTTGAAAAACTGAAGGTTTATTTAGTATTAGATAGAGAAACTAAGCATTTTATCAAGTCATTGTCATCATGTTTTGGCAGAGGCAGTTAGCTTGTAGAGGAATTTTTGTTAACAATTCATGAAATTTTTTGCAAAACATTTAGAATTGACCAAAGCATGACCATAATTAAATTTAGTTAAAAAAAAAAAAATTTAATGTATCTTGAAATTTCTAAGACAACTTCATGTTATTAGAGTAATAACATTCTAATAATGTTATTACTCAAGATTGTGAAAATTTATAATGATATGACCTTGAGCTATATTCATTATAAACTATTAATAAAAGCAGGTTGATTTGATTCAAATAAATAGAGATTTTTTGAGTCAAGTCTTGAATCACTTATTTGATTTGATTCAAAATATTTAGGCTTAGCAGGGGCCTAATATATATATATATATATATATATATATATATATATATATATATATATATATATATATATATATATATATATATATATATATATATATATATATCCACGACATGATATTAAATTAGTTTTTTGAGGTAGGTAAGATTTTTTAGGCCTTAAATTAGAGCACACGATTTTTTTATAAAACATTAAATTCAAAATCAACTAAATCGAAAACTAAAATGCTTTAATTTTTTTAATACAAGTAAAATCTATATGCATTATAAAAATCCAAAATAAGATCTAAACATATTGATTTAGATACCAAAAAAAAAAAATAATAATTAAACATTTTATCTTAATTTAAAAAAACAATCGGACTAAAGTTAAGTATATATTTCAAATAATATATTAAAACAATAATTTACCATAGAAAAACCATAAAAAAAGCATTTCAATATTTTGCAGATCCACCTTTCTTAAATAAGGATTGAAGAAGGCAATTATCTAAAATTTCAATGTTTCTATCAGCATTAAGTCAACATTCAAATAATTAATAGCATTTAAGTCCTGCATAATTCATGTAGGCCCAAAAGTCTACACTGCCATTACCTTGCTTGGTTGGTTTTCATGTACAATTCAAATCAAATTACTCTTGAGGTGATCGCCATAGCAGAACACGAAGCAATAACATATTTTTGCATATCTACCTCAACATTCATTTTGTCTGAGAATATAACATTTCACCACTTGCTGTCGTGTTTCATCAAGCAAATTAATTTTATTAATTAAAAACGTTTATCTCATTGTGTTGCCCACCAGATTATCCAGATCCATAATGTCATCTGTTTCAGTATAAGGTTTTCAAATATGTGAATATTCAATATTTAACTTATTGGCTATTTGACGAGGAGATAATACTTGGTTTTAAATAAAAATAGATTTGTAACATGTTTTTTCAGAGAATCTCAACCATGATTTTGGAGTTTCATGCTGTATTACTTCACTCGTTATGAGGCTTTTTCAATATCTAATTTCTTTGTGTTTTCATCAGTACTATTTCAAAATTAGAAATTTAGAGTTAATAAATGCTAAAGAAAATCAAATTAAATTATTAAAAAAAATATTACATTAATTTTAAAAATAAAGCAGTAAGCATTAATTTTTAACAAACAAAAAAAATTTAAAAAAATATAGTCGATGTTATAAAGTTACATATAATTAGGGATACAAATGAAATTTTATGGTAACAACTTGTCCATTAAATAAAAAACACGATACTTATTAATTAGAAATAATAAAATATTTAAAAAGCTAACTAGTTTTTAAAGTAATTTTAAGCAAACAGGATATATAAGTAAGAATGCTCTAATTAATGGCCAATGGTGTATGTATCATATATTTATATATATATATATATATATATATATATATATATATATAAATATTAATATATATATATATATATATATATATATATATATATATATATATATATACTGTATTGTATTACATAGTATACTATACTTGGACATATATTATTATTTTTAATATTTTATTATTTTTCAGAGTTTGATTTGTATGCATTAATTGTGTTTGCATACAATTGTTGTAATCGTGTTGTAATATAATATGCACACAAATTTATTGGATACAAATTGTATATAATATATAGTTAAATGATTATGATATATTATAAAAACTATATTTTATAGTTTATATTACCTATATTATAAAAACAAATATAAACTAAATGCTATATAAACTATGTAACATAATACATTTATATTTAACTTATATATAAATATTTTATCTTACATACTTTATAAGTAACTTGTGAACTTTTTAGCCTTTTTTTTTTTTGCATTTATAGTATAGTCATTCACATATAATTATATATTATAATTTATATTATAATCATTCACATATAATTATATATATATATATATATATATATATATATATATATATATATATATATATATATATATATATATATATATTAGCTATATACCTTAATATAAATGTATCATACATCTACAAAAGTAGTGTTGGTGGGTGAATTCTATTTTTGTTCAGAAAAAAATTGAATACTCAGATCTGAAAACAATTTCAAATCAAGATAAGACTATTCGAAATAAAAAAGTAAAAATTATTAAATTGTATCGCTCAGATTTTTAGAAAAACAGTTTTGAAAATGTAAACAAATCACGCTTTTAACAGTCAGATAAATGTAGCAGAGAATCACAGTTTTTTATATATTTAAACATCTTTATATTGTTTTTTGAATCAACAATTCAATTATCTTTATTATTATTTCATTCTATCAAAAATATGCAAATAATAACTACTAAGTAAAACTTTAAAAATATTGTTGCTACTCGAAAAAATTTTGGTATCTAAAGGCCGTCACCATCTTTAAAATTATAATATTTGAATTTGACACTGCGCTTGCGTATAATAACTTTCCACATCTAAACGACCGTGTGTTGGTAAATCTATAGAGTAGAAGGTTTTAGTGAGGGAAGTAACAAGCAAGTTGTAGATTCAATCAATTACTTCTATAAGTTGTAAAAAAAAAAAAAAAAAATCAATATTCAGGTTTACATATATGTGGTGATTTTAAATACTCAAAATATAAATGAACCAACACACCCCCCTCCATCCCCACCAGAATCTGAAGGTTCTAGAATGTCTTAGAAATGGACCTTTTTTTGAAAGGAGACTTAATCGTGATACCAAAATATTTCGACATCCCCTCAATTTAGAACAGCTGATTCTACTTTAATACTTACAGCAGTTCTTTCAACATGTATATCGTTTAGACATCTCGTATTACTTGATTTAATGATTAATTGGAACACTGTATTTTCCCATGCAAACATTTTTCAGGAAAATTATCAGAAGAAATGTCTATAAATATTGGTTTGATAGTGTACACACAGAAACTAGAACAAAGAAATTCAGTTATACGTCATTTTTCCAGCCTGGACTTTGTACCATGAAACTTTTAGTGCGCATACAAAACAGATGGCAATCTTTTACTCATTTCACGAAATGCTAAAACATTAGGGTTAAGTGGTTTATGCCAAATTAAAATCAAAGTTAAAATCTTTATTTATATTTTAAATTCTGTACAACTTCTTTATTTGACAACTTATTGAAGGAGAATGAGAAGATTATTTTTAATTGAACTTCAGTCTGAAAGTGTAGCAATGGTTTTTTTTTAAAAATTCTTTTATCACTGTTTTCATCTAACTTTTTTTTTGATATATTCCTAGCACTTTTATTTAAACAAGTTAAAAAAAACCTTAAGTGTAGAGTAACAAAAAACCTTGACAAGAGCACTAAGTAGTATTGTGCATTGTAAAGTTCATTGGTCTTGTGACCAATGAACGCGTATAAATCGAGTCAATAAACGAAAATCAATAGCTGAATAACAATATTATATTTTAGTCAGTTTAGAGTTGTTTTTACTGCATTTTGCGGTATAATTTCATTGTAAAAGTGCATAGCAATGGAATAATCAAAGTGTTGCTATGAATAAAAATTGTCACTGAATTATTTTAAATAAACATTAGATGTAGATACCAAGTATTTTTCCAAGAAAAAATTAGAATTTTGATATATAAAAAAATAATTTTTTATATCAAAATTATCTACTCTAATTTTGATATAAAAATGAAAAAATTTGAAAACAATTTTTTCAATTTTAATTACTTTATACTATCATTTAAAACCATTTTTACATCACAATCATACAGGCTTCCATTTTAATATTTCTGTAAAAAAAAATTTTTTTCGCTTCCTACCCAATAGTATTTAATGAAAACATTATCTCCCTTTCAGTATATATATTTCCTAGCTTAAATAAAGCACAAAAAAAAAATCTAAACATGATAATCGCATTAAAAAAAAAAAACACAACATATTAATCCACCGAAATTAAAATTCTAACAAACTTTTATAAAAAGACAATTTAAAAAAATAAATCATTTTTACGTCACTGTTTAGTAAGAAGCCTCAAAAGTAAATAAAATAAAATCAATACAAAATATTTATAAAAAAAATTTATAACCTTATAAGAATTAAAAAAATATATAAATAATAACATAATTACATAAATATATGAGAACATAATAAATAACATCTAACTACATCAAAATTAAATCAAATCGTTATCTAAACTAAACTAGCAGCTAGGCTGATAATTTAGTTTAGTTGACCGATTTATTTAAATTTTATCGATTTATAATACTTAAAATATTTTATATCTTAAAAAATAATATATAAATATTTCAAATACTATTTTTAATTTATAATTTTATTTATAAACTCAAAAAGTAATTTAAAATTATTATTTTGCAACAATGCAATTATTGAGACAATAGCTATGTGTTGAAAAGAAACTAGTGGTGACCGTTTACTATTGGTGACTACCATGTTTAAAGTATAGTTCATTGATAGATGTTTTAATATTTAGTATATTAAAAGTTGTCGCAAGAACTCCTCCAATCAAAGCGATGAAACAAACAAGCCCCATTAGCAACTTTGGGCCTAAGGTTGTTTCCGGATATAATTTCAAATAAAATGAGATAGGGAAAAAAAAACACAAAAACACATTTAATGATCCACCAATCAAATCAACAATTGGACCAAATAGTGGAAAGATCTCACATGTACCAAGTACAGATATCACAGCTAACGTTCGAAAATATATTCTTTGTCTTGAAAACTCTAAAATGCATAAATAATTTAAAAAAATGTATTCATCTTTGAAATTCGCTGACATTTAAAATAATATATCTATTTGAAATTCACTGACATGATATGAACAATATTTCTTGTAAGAATAAATTAAATTGTTTAATAAAATTGTTGCTCAACATTGATTATAATATGCACAATAAGTAAAAATATACTTACCATAGCAACCTTACCTTTTTAAATTTACAAATGGCCCCCTAAATTCGCTGCTTCCCCCCTCCCCCCAATTAAGGTGTGTTGAATAGCCTAGCCACGGCTCTGCTTTAAATTATACTCAATAAGTAAAAAATATACTCACCATACGGTACATTGAAAAAACTCTCCATTTGTTGAACCAAAGGATTTATCATTAACACAAATCCACACAAAAAATGTGATGCAAATAAAAGTTTTGCAGCTGCAACTATGCCATGATTTAGTTTATGTATATGATCATAATCAGTAAGTGTCTTTAAGATACTGTCTTGGAGACCTTTGCCAATAGTAACAAATCCTCCAATAGCAGTAGGAATGTAAAGTAATCCTATTCCAGCATAACCAATTGATGCAGCTTGAATAAACCTCGCTGGATTTTTCATATCTGACTGTATAGTAGGAAACAAACTTGCACCAGTATATCCAAATACGATTGCTCCAAATGCAGATGAGAAAGAACCAATTGTTACTGGAGCTTTTTCAACTGAATTTATATCATTTGGTCGAATCAGTATATACTTTGTTATAATGAGAATAACAGCTAAAGTAGTTGAAAGAGCAGCTCCAACAGCAACAAACCAAAAATCTTTAGGAGTACCCAACCAAGTAAATGGAATAATCACAAATGATACTATCAGCAGCCAAATACGAAGACTTGAAATCCCAGGCGTAGTACCAACATGGAAAAAAAGGAAACTTTGTAAAATTTCTGCACACAGTATTAAGTAAATAACGCAAGTAAAAAAAAGTTGAACATTTAAGCATACTGAAACAGCATTACGACCTTTTTTTCCAAATGCAATTTCACCAATGAAAGGATAAGGATCCCTAATAGGTTCAGTCTCTACACGCTGCTGTTTTGCACGTTTCCAAGCATATCCAAGCAAAAGACCACAGTAAGCGCATATGAATAAAATAATAACCATTAATGGTAAACCTGTAAAAATTTAAACTAAATATTTGTAAAAATCAATCAAAAAAAAAATAATAAATTGAAAACACAAACAAAATTGAAATACTAATAACTTTTTCTAAAATAGTTAATTAAATTATTTAAATATATTTTGTTAAATTCTGCAAACACATTTAAAAACTTTAAATGCCCATTTTTTTGAGGCGTACAGCAGGACAAATGTTGTTCCCAAAATATGTAATAAAAATTTAGTATTTTTTTTTTTATTTAAGTTGATTAAGGTGCCCCAAGAAGTCCTTACGGTCTTATCACAGAGCGCCGCGGAAGAGCATTTAATAGGAAGTTCACGCCTCCTTCCCAACCGATGTCGCAAAGCTTGCCCAGCACGGCTGTTTCACTCAATATAAAAGCGAGCCTGACGTCACGAGTTTATCAAAAAAAAAAGTATTTCCGCATAAAAAGTATAAAAATTCATTAACTTTAAAATAATAGTATTTTTTTTCTATAAATGCTTTCATCTTCAAATAAAAAAAATATAAAAGATCTATCTTTCCTTGTTAAATAAACATTTACATTAAACGGAATAAAAATGAAAGCTGTAAAAATATTGTTAATAATTTGGCATCACTTTTCTGATTTTTGCGATTTTTACGCAAAACCTGTCTTAGGCCAACTAAGATTTGATAACATAGCTACATGGTCGATGGTTGAAATTTAGAACAGTTATTAATGAATGTCTGTTCTATCTAGATTTCCACAGACTTTGCAAGTTTTTATATAGAAAGTTAGTTTTTAATGCATTTATATTTTTGTTTTTATTCGTTTTGAATAAAAAACATAACATTTTTGAAAAGTCTGTGGATTTAGTAATACTTCAACCTTATATGAATAAGAAAATCAAAAAATTATTTTCTGTACCTCTAGCTATGTTATCAAATATGTTTTCAAACTTGGCATGTTTAGCGACATTTTTTTTAGTTTTTTTTGCATAAATTCTTGTTTACATTTTAAAGCGGTGACGCAAACTCTGATCGTTACGTCCCCAACGATTATCGGATGCATTTTAAGAAAACAAACAAAACAAACGAGACACATTTTATAGAATAAATAACAAAGTTTCGCGGATTAATTTCTCTTGGATATTTGACTAATTTCAGATAAGTTGATTAATCCGATTTTATCTAGTGCATCTATTTGTCAATATTATTCTATTTAAGTTGTTTGTATTATAATTTTATTACTATATCAATAAAGATTATAAAGCAAAGTTTCGTGGATTATTTCCTCGTGGATATTCGACTAATCTCAGATAAGTTGCTTAATTCTTTTATTTTTAGTGTATTTATTTGTAAATATTATTTTATTTTATTTCTTTTATTATATTATTATTATAATATCATTATCATTATTTATGTGATGTATGCAACTGAGAGGGAAATTTTGAAACTGTACATCGGTTGGGAAGATGGTTGGGAAAATGAAAATAACTTTAATTTTGTAAAGCGAGTAATTGAAACTAGTAAGATCACTAACAATGTGATTTCAATTTTATTAACAGTTTTTCATCCAAAAGCGTTGTTTACTTTTTTAAGTTTTCTTTTGCCAATTGAGTTTAATATGCCTAATATTGATGTGTTAAATAAAATGTGCCGAAAAATAAAACAAAGAAAAAAAGATTCTAAAAAGTATTTTGAAGCTTCAAAAAACAAAGCATTTTTTAAAATGCAACTGTCTCCAGCTCCACAAACAAAAAAACAAAAAAAATCAGCAGATGCAGATAATTTTTATATTTTAAATAGGAATAAGGAACTAAGTAGTCAAGTTGAACAATTAATTTCTAAAGAAAAAAATAATGTGGAGCAAATAGATAATTTAAAAATACAGGTATCAAAGTTGGAAACTGAAGTTATATATTTAAATTCTAAAAACAAGGCTCTCAACGCACATTGTAACTCATTAAGTTCTCAATTAGAGACTATGAGTATTAGGCTAAAACAGGAGGAGCAGTTCCAACTTTAAAAAAAAAAAAAATAAAAACAGCACACCGTAAATTTGCATCTGCTCGTGCCAAAAATGTAAGATTGCTAAAAAAATTTAAATTTGAAAAAAAAAATGCAAAAATCAGTGATATAAACAAGAACAGTTGCCAAATTTGCAAATATTTTGCTAGCAGTGATAAGGATTTAGTTGTCGTTGATTCTTATTTAGACTATGACAACATTGGTTCCTCTGAATTATTCTGTGGGTTTAAATTAAGTAATCCACAGACTATATCAGTTAAAAAGCCAATAGTTATAATATCTTATTCTAAGTTAGGTAGGCATGCTGCAGCTAGACGATCTAAACTTGCTTTTATATTCCTTTGATTATTAGCTTGTTCAGATTTGGAAAGTGATTTGTCTATGTTGTTTTGTGATTCTGTGTCTTGTGAAAAGTCTATGTTTCATTGTGTTGCAAATAAGTTGGGTTTAGTTAGGCAGTTAAGTGTTTCTGATGCTGTAGAGCTGCAGAGCCAATTAAGGATGCCCACGGCTGAATTCCGTAGGCTAAGACGTATTCTGTGTAATCTTGGTGCAAGGATTCTCCCATCTGAGCCCAAGATAAGACAAGAACAAGAAATGCGGACAATGCATGTTAGTAAAGAACATGTTACTGTAAAGTCCATGTTGCTTTATCCATCTGCGAATGAAGCACCTTGTTTAGTACCTGTATTGATGGTCAAGAATTTGATAACTTATATTGAAGAGGTTTTCAATAGTCTGCACGTTCGTGATCACTTCAATTCTGATGTCGATTTTTGCAAAGAGGTATGGCTCCTTTTTGCTGGGGATAAGGGTGGGAAGTATATGAAATTCCATTTTGAAGTTGTCAATTCTAAATCATCAGGGTCTGTATATGATGTTCATTTATTTTGTATGTATCAGGGTTCAGACTGTCGTGAGAATATTGCCTTAGTTCTCGGGCATTATGCCAACGACATTAAAAGAATTCAGTCGTCAGATTTTAAGCTAAAAGGCAAAATAGTCAGGTTGTTCTTAGGTGGAGATTTTCATTTTATCGATGATGTTCTGGGACACCAGGGTTCAGCTGCTAGCTTTCCTAGTTCTACAGACCTAGTTAAGTTGAATTCTCTAAGAAACCATGCTTCTATGCCTCACACACCTGCTAATTGTAACATCTTAAGGAGGACAATACAATCTATGGAAAGTGCTTACAATGAGAACTTGTGTGAAGATAGACAAGGTGGAAACCTAAGAGCTCTAGGTAAGTTTCATAATTCAATTATTGCTCCTGTGATTTTCCCCATAATAACTTTAGATAATGTAGTGCCACCTGTTTTGCATATTATGTTAGGAGTTGTGTTAAAACTTTATAAGTTATTGTTGAAGGAGTGTAAGACTTTGGATTGTCAAGCTGTTTCGTCTTTGTTGCATAATGAGAATGTGAGAACGAATGAATTGTGGGCTGCTAAAAGCTTTGAATGTTCTAAAACAGCAGACTCTTTACGTTTATTAGGAAATCAATTTGTAGACGTTGCAAATCTACAGACTTGTTGGTTAGCTTTTGATAAAAATATTTCTGAATTGGAATGCATATCTCTAAACTCCTCCAATAAAAAAAAAACCTGTAAACAGCAAGAAAAGTGTGCTAGTATCAGGTGTTTAATTACTAAATATGATTGTAACATTGATTGGGTGCAGTGTGGCACGTGCCAAAAATTGTTCCATCAATTTTGTGAAATTATTGGTGGTTCGGAAAAGAATGTATTGTGTGATATAGAGAAGTGTGAGTGTTTAGCATGTCAGGGTGAAGATTTAGAATGTCTTGACCTTTATATTTCTGAAAAAATTTCTTTTATACCCGCACAGCGCGAAGTTTTAGACGTTGAGTATATTCGATTGCGGATAGAGTGTGAAGACCTAGAAAAAATATCTATAAGTAGCATGGGGACTCATGAGAGGTCTCTTTATAAGTCCCTTGAAGATATGAAAGTTGAGCGACAAGCTTACCATGGTAATGTATTTGCAGGTAATCATTGTAAAATAGTATTAAGAAACCACTATAAACTTTGTAGTGTTATTGATGATGAAGCAATTAAAAATAGATTTGTACGTGTGTTTAGTGTTTTTAATAACTTGCAACCTATTCTTTTTAAGCGAAAATATCTTTCTGATGCTGAAATTTCTGAGCTTCATCAATATATAAATTTATTTGCTATTGAGTTTCATGCTTGCTTTCCAAAAGAAAGTATCACGCGAAAAATGCATGAACTCATTTTCAATGTGCCACTATTTGTAAAATTGCATAAAACTATTGGGTTGCTGAGTGAAGAGGAGGGAGAGTGTTTGCATAATAGCGTAAATAAGGAATTAAGGCAGTTGCATTCAGTTAGAAATCAGGAGCAAAAGCTGCATCTTGTTTTAAAACGTTTTGAATTGCACAGCAAAGCTGATAGGAAGCTTCAAGCCTCTAAGGTGAGAAAGTGTGTTGTGTGTTCAGAGCGTGGCGAAAATTCATTTTATAGACAAGGTCTTTGTCTTGTTTGTGGTCATCAAATTTAGTTTAAATGTTTGAAAAGTTAAAAAAAAAAATTAAACTTTTTACATCTAAGATAAATTATATAAGATCCTTAATTTACAAATAAGAGAATTCTATTCTGTTTTAATGCCTGTAATGTTTGTTCAAAATAATAATAATTTTTTATTACAATGATTTTATATATTAGGTAGATGCCCATTCTGTTCCTATTTTCAAAAGTTTATTATATCTATGCAATGCCTTTGCTCAGGTTAAAGAATGGAATAAAAGTCTAGCATCAAATGTATAGCTAACTATTTTAATTTGTGATCAGAGCAACTGGTATGTTTGTTGGATATGATTTTGTATGTTTATGTAGTTAATTCAAAAAACGTTTTATCCTTTGTTATGTAATATGTAACATTTTTTATATATATTAGATCTGCGTTCAATTTTTATCATCAAAAGTTAGTTCTACCTTCGCAGGACCTCTGCTCTACATACCTCCTCTCTGGTTAAAGAATGGAATATAAGTCTCATTTATCAAGTTGGTGTAAAAATTTAGCTTGATAAATTAAGAAGTTGTAAACTTTATTATCACAATTGCCAAGTTGACCAAATGTTCTTCTGGTTTTAAATGAATTATGTATGAATCTAGTATCAACTGGGTGTTCAAAGATAGTTTACTGCTTGAAGAACTTATCAATGGACCAACTAATTATAAAACAGTTTTTAATAAAAATAAAAACGAATTATCAAAAGATTTAAATCAGCTATTTGTGTATATTTAAACACTTAATTTTTTGTGAGAAGAGATTGTTGATACAAGTACCATAAAATAATTCTACTACCAAAAGCTAGGTTAATTCAAAACCTTTAACTCAATTTTGGTCATGAATTATTTTATTAGAATTGATGAGTTTTTATTTATTAACTACCTAACACCATATTATTAGAACTTTATTTTGTAATGTAATGATTTTATCAGCGTTCCAAAATAATTTTCTAAATCAAGAACTTCTATATTAAAAAAAAGTACTCATTTAACAACTAATCGCCCCTTATAACGACGTTTTTCATAATTTTGCGAAAAATGTGGTTTGCTTTCACAATTCGATTAAGGCTGTTTTAGTTAACCTTAAATAATTAAGTAAGGTTTTTTTGTTTTCATTATTGTCAAACAATAAGTGTATTTGATAATAACTATTAGGAATATATTTTTCTAATTTTTTTTTGATAAAAAGTAACATCAAATTACAAAAATTTAGCCAAATTCAATATATGTCATATTTATTCTAAACTAAAAGAAGTTTTTCTACTAATGCATTAAATGTCATAAGGTAAAACATTTTATTGATGTCTTAATTGTTTTTACAAAACAAAATTACCTCTTATATTTCAAAAGTTATAAAAGTTTTAGTAACACCCCTTTAGTCAATATTTTCAAAAATTAACAAGAAGCCGTTAAGCTCGGT